AAGTACTCAAAGCGGTGTTTGGTTGATTTTAGATTGTTATGTAACATGAAAAGATCTCGAATTTGGGGGAGAACAGATGAATTCAAGGGGGAGAACACCAAATCAAGAATAATTAATTTTTAGGTTACTAGTCATTCTTATAGCAGCCATCGTATTTTGTTATACATATGTGTGCTTGTCTGTACTAAAAAATATGTAAAATAAAATTGTAAGTTTTAATTTGTAATAGCCCATTAACCCTCCTTTTTAATTCGGTTAGCTCCTTTTTTTTTTTTTTTTTTTTTTTTGAAGATAGTAACATGCTTATAATAAAGCTTTCAAAACTGCGTCATTTCAAAATTAATCCCTATCATGTGGTTCTTATAAAGCTTGTGATGCATAGGCATACATAATATCACATAATACAGCAAAATGTCTTGTATCCAAGAGTCATGTTAAATTTTGCAGTCCTAAACTTCAGTTAATCATTAGAAATGAACTGTTCTGTGCTAACACCATACTGTAATCTACGCATTCTTCTCAGCGTAATGTGCCTTAGTAACATGTTATCCGTCTCTTTTCATTCTTATTTCAAATGTGTCGTTATAAATTAGTGAAAAGTACAAAAGTCATTATTGAAAAACCGGGGCACCATTTCAAGTGTATTTTAACATTCGAGAATATTTTGTAATGAATAATGAGTGTTCATTTGGCTGTCACTGCAACTTAATTGTTATGCACAAGCTCCATCGTCATGTCACCTCATCTGAAATAGCATTATATATAAATTTTCGTATTTGAAGCCATTGTTAAGAAATTGTTAACTGATAACAGAAAAATGTGCTATATGAAATGTAACTTAATGTTCCTAGTTCATCTTGAGCTATGAATTGAGAGAAGCAAATAAGAAAGAAGATTTTATATTCGAGCATAAATCTGTGAACCCGATATATTCCTCAGATTTTTCAACAAGTCGGTATAGTAGATGATGTGATTTCCATTAACAATGAATAATGTTTCTAATTGCAAAGGAATCGGAAACTTATCCGGTATTTATTAAATTTCATCATTGAAAAGAACCGCCGAAAAAAGCTTTTATTAACGTTTATGAAAGTTACACATCGATTTTTACGCTGAGCTAAAAGATGTTGCCAGTCTCCGATAACTAAATATTAGGCTTGAAATATTCGTGTAGCATGTTAGTATATCGGCGTTCCTTTTCAAGGACTTCAGATCACTGTAGTTGCACAAACACGGTGGTATAAATATCTTCGCTAAGAATATCTGTTAGATGAATAGATGAAGAATACCTGGTAATCGGAACAGCTAGTGGCCCATAAGAATGTTGATTCACAAAAGGAATTTCGCTGTTATTTATTTTTTTAATTTTACTATTCTGTTACGATATCTATTTAAGTATAAGCTGTAATGCTGTTTTACAGTTTCGATTATGCTGCAGATTATTAAGGTCGGAATTATTCCTATTGTAATAAAATTTCGAATTCCATATTTAAGCCTTTTTTCTCGTAGATTTTGTGTTGATCGCGAAATGTAGATAGTTATGTTTCCGTGAAGTTTCTCTCTCTCTCTCTCTCTCTCTCTATATATATATATTAATAATGCATACTAAATTCGACATTATTTTAATTTGTGAAAAATTATGTAACATTTTGCATTAGAAAATATCTATTTTCTATGCTTTTTGGAATATATATATCATTTTGCTTTCAAGTAGATGTGCAATCAAGTAATTTTATTAAGTTATGCAGATTATGCATAACAAAATCAAAGAAAAGAGTTAAAAAGGATTGCAGTCTATTTAATTCAGGTTCTATTTATATTTTTCTAATATCTATTCTGATAACACCTGTATATCATAAAATTTTTCCTTCGGTATGAGAATTGAGAGTTTGCGTAAAAAATTATTCGATTTTATATGTATAATGAAAAAAAAATGTATTTAATCGAACGTTCTGATGATATTTAGATTTTAAAGGCGGATATCGAATATGTTTATAGCAATCAGACATACTTATTTAACTTACATGTGATACGTAAATTAAATAGCACAAATGCGGTAGAAAGAGCTTCATCCAGTGCAGTTCCTGAGTTTGCAACCTGGGGGGGGGGAGTCCTTGGATTTGCTGTCCCTCTTGATATACAAACAAATAATTAAAAAAGTGACAACATGACATAATAGGGAAATAAGTCCATTATTTTGCTTGTTTTTTTGTTCCTAAAACCACTGGTGGCATTGTAGAAGTCTATTCTTCTCCATTTGCTGTTATGTAGACAGTACAAAGAGGTTTTTTAAATGTGAAGTAAATATTTGTAGTTCTTAACTGATTTTTATTTAGAAAACTCAAATTTCACAACTAGCGACACTTACAATAATTGTGAGGAACGTTCGTGAGAGTATTATAATATTTGGAACTTTGTTCTTGGTATTGTATTTTAGAATAAACTATAAAAATTAAAAAGGCCCGCCCAACCTTGTTTCTGTTTCGTTTTCCCTAGCAATAACGAGAATAGAGCTCTGAAATATTTCTCTCTTAGCGAGAAATTCTTCTTTATTTATATTATCGTTATCATAACTTAGTTTATATTCGTAATTTTCTCTCAAATGTTTCGATAGAATAAAAAAGCTGTAGTAAATGTATATAGCTGTTGAAATATTTTGCTGATTTTTGGAAGACCTTTATCTAGAGTCAAAATGGAAATTCAGAACCGATTGGTATTTTAATAAGTGAAATCAGTAATTTATTTGTAAATAATCAACATCATAATAATTCTTAATATATATGATAATAATTTTTGCAAATGGTAAATTGTGAATGTTTTGCTACTTTTTATTGGATGTCTAATCAATGTATCTTCACAAAGACCTGATTGATATTTAAACTCAACACAAACTCCTTCTGATCATCATCAATAAATTCATCTACAAATTAATTATTAACCTTTTGAATCTCGCAATGGCCGCAAACGGTCTTGTTATTAAAATCCCAAGACGACTCATGCGTAGAAGGGAATAAGAATCGTCCACGTGCGAATTTTGAGAGTGCGATTTTCTTCTTGCCGCGGTGTCTTTGTGTTCGGTGTTTGCCAGTTATGTGAAGCTTGAAGCAGACAATTACTTTTTTATTAAGGGAGGTGTTTTGTGTTTATTATTCACTTCAAGTGGACACCTTTCTTTCTTTAAAGTCCTGGATTGAACAAATCGTCTTTTTGCAACTTTTTTTTTAATCATGCAGGTTTTGTAAAAAATAAAATTAATCATACAACTAAAAACTCCTCTTTTATTTGCTGTAGAAAATCCTTGTATTTTTTACCTTCATATTAAAAAATTATGCTTCCATTTTCGACGTTATCAGCATAAACTCGCATAAATTAAGATATAAATGTCATCCAAATGTGTATTTAAAAAAAATCCAGTGGCCAAGCTGTTGCTTGTTAAACATGATTGGGTATTGCCAACATCATTGGTTATTAGCTGTCTCAATACCTAGAACATTACCCATGGTGCACTGCAGAAGGTAGATGATATTATTACCACAAGAAGGGGGAACAGACAACTGTAATCATCCATACCTTCTCTGGAATCCAAACCTGAGCCTAGTGATATAATAGTATCACTGCTAATCTTTGTTCACATTATTATTTTAAAAGATTAAGAAGTCTTGGCCGAGCTTGATTGCTAAGCAGTCAAGTCTTTCACAAAAACTGGTTTAAGGATTTTGCCTTAAGTTCTAACTTTTCAACTGTTATAAATCAAAAGTCGGAAATTAAAATACTATAAACATTTATTCACAGCTACATAAATCTAGCATCAGATACATCTACAACAGCTACATAAAATCTAACATCAGAAAAGCAAGTTCTAATAAAATGGCTAGCAGCATCTCAAACTAGATAAAACTAACAGCTAAACTGAATTACAATGTTGTAATGAAAAACAAAAATTATTTTCATTGCCAGATTGTTAGAGTTGAATATCTGTGTCCAGAGAAGGCTTAGGAATAGTATTTCTAACATCAACTTCGTGCCACCTTATTATAAAACCTGACCAATCATAATGAAGTAAAACTTTTGTTGATGGTTTTCTTGAATCAGCTATACATTTACACATGTTCAACTTTCCCTTCCCTGGCTGGCTGTAGCTTAAACTCTGTTAAACAAGTGTGAATGGAATTAATGACTTCTTAAAGCACAAAACCTTATGATGACAAATCTTTATCTAAATGAAGCCTTAACCACTGAAACAACAGCATTTTAAAAAAACCTTTCTGTGTGATGTGTTGTGGACTTTTATTCAACGATAAATTTAAATTCAGTATCACAGGATGCTTTGCATTTTTTAATTAACTTTGCTTTATTGGGCTGACTTTTTAGTGCTTTTGTATTAAAAGTAAAGTTAATAAATATGATCAATGATCTATGAAACTGCTACAAAATTGCAGGAGAACAAAGAAATTAACATTTTTAAGATTAATCATTAATTTTTTGTGCTATGTATTATCAGTCTTTGCACTTTCATTCAGTGTCTTTTCTACATAATATTAATAATAATAAAAACTTGTGCTTTATGTGTTTATGTGCGCTTAATTTACATACATGAAAGATATTTTTGATGAAGCTCAAAATTAGCATTTTCTTAGTTTGTTTTATCGATTATTTTTAGTTGTATGACATATTTATACCATTCCATATGGAATGGAAATCTATGGAGACTGTTGATCTGAAAGAAGAAATAAAATTTGCAAAACTGATATTTTCTATTCAAAATTTTGGGGGGAGGGGTATTTTTAATCTGCTTTCCCATAAATAAAAAAATCCAATCCATAAACGCAGTGGTATAGGAATGTTACTTACTGATAATCGTATTAAAACTTTTTATCACTGAAAATTTTAACCTGAAGAAGTGCATATGTCATGCACTTTGTGCTTGTTTTATGTGATGATAGTCATGAAATTGTGCCATTAAATCTGATGTACTTATAAATTTTCTCCCTTCTATCCAGAAGAAACAAACCAGAACACGGCAATGTATGGGCAACTAGTTACACAAGACCAGCTTGTTGGAATGGGTGCTGGAACCCAGGATCCTGATGCAGATCTGGTGGCACTGGAGTCACGAATTCCTTGTAAAATCCGAGAACCGAGCCATGCCCCTTTGAGACGGCTCAGTGTTGATCTCATCAAGACATATAAGCATATAAATGAAGTATGTGAATTATTTTTGTTACCATGACATCACTTAATTCCTTTTTAATGTCTAATTTTGTTAAATATTATGTGTACTATTTAAACATGACATAGCCTATATTGTCTGTAATGACCTGAGACCCACCCACTAGAGAATAAATGATATCACCTGTACATCGTTAATATATATCACAATCCAATAGAAGAACTGAGATATTACAACAGATACATATGCAACTAATGGTTTTCTAATTAATGTAGGGAAGACATCATGAATAAGCATTACTATAATCACCACCACAACTCATAAGGTTATTGCTAAACTAGGATTTATTAATATGCCTTAGAATGAAAAGAAAAGTAAAAAAGAACAATCATTACACCATCACGTGTTTATACTCACCATCTTTAACCTCATATCTCCCCACACTCATATAGATGACACTTTATAGTTATCTAACTCAGTTACAGTCACAGTTCCTGCATAATTCAGCCATCTGACGTCGTCACCTGCTTTCAGATGACAGGAACAGTGATATTTAACATATACAGTAAAAAGAAAAATACTAATACAGCGGAACCTCGAAATACGAGTTTTAATTTGTTCCAGCATTGAGCTCGTATAGCGAATTTCTCATATCTACAAACAAACGTTCCCATTGAAAATTATAGGAATCCAGTCGATCCATTCTGCACCTCTAAAAATATCAACATAAAAATCATTTTTTTAATAAATACCATTGATAAGTAATATAAATGTATAAATGTATCTTTATGATAGCTTCTGACACACCAACGACAGCTTCCGAACTTCTTCTAGGAGCTTTGGGCGGTGCTTGGAAGTAACGGTAACTCATTTGACCACATCAAGTTTCTTGAATGTAAAAACATTAAATGTAAAAAACAATTAACTCGCAATCGCTCAAACTTGCAGATCAAAGAACACTTGAGTGATCTGGCAAGGAGATTCTCCGAGTCGAGCCAGATCGGGAAATAGTGCCATGCATACCAACAGCCTGGCTTATTGCTCGTTACTCAAGTCAGTGCTCGTATTTAGAAATGAATATTTCGCTCATACTTTCTTCGTATCTCAAATTTCTCGTGTATAGAGGTGCTCGTAGCTCGAGGTTCCACTGTACTATTAAGCAATAATTGAACATATTAAATTAATACAGATAAATGAAAATAGTATTATGTCTGGATCTTCTAATAACAGCACCTAGAAAAATAAATAAATAATAATAAAAAAAATTAGTAGTCATTATCAAAGAAAAGATGTATAAGATTAAAATCCAAAGGTGTAATTCAGTTCAGAAGAAAATGTCCATAGAACACTAAAATTTAGGTGATATGTTCTTATGAAGTCTAAGGTTTCATAAATTTGGCATAAGTGCTTGTTTTCTGTGGTCCATTGAAGGAACCACATTTTCAACATAAGTGTCATTTGGCTTGATTTTCGCAATCTTGTGCAGTCCGAAAAAATTCAACTTCAGTTTAAGACCAGGTCCATATTGTGTATACATTGCCAGTACTTGATAAAGCTGGAACTTATGGGATAGTTTACGTCACAGGTTGTTTTTGCGATTTTAAGTCGGCACTTTCAAAATCTGTTGTTTAGCTTCCTTCCGAAGATCATCTTAAGCACTGACAAAATCCAACTGGATCTCTGCATTTAACAGCTGTGTAATTTTGTCATGATTAGCAGATTTTAGTTCCAAACATGAGTTCGAATGGAGTTGTATTCATACTGTGTTGTTATGTTGAATTAATCATTTGCTGTACTTCACTACGTGTTTATATCATATTGAATGATTTTGAATCGATAATTTGGAGAGTACAGAAATTTTGGCAGAACTCAATCTTTCAATTTGTCCATTGGCATGAGGCAGTCCTGTACTAGTCTGAATATAGGTATTGTTTGTGAACGATAATCTTGGAAAATTTTTAGAAGTGAATGGTGAACTTTTATCGGAAATTACATGCATAGGGTTTCCAAAGACAAATTTTTGAGTTTCAATTTAGATATTACTTCAGTGCTATGAGTAGATTTAAGATTGTGGGATAAAATCATACAAACTTTATGAAAGAATTAATAACAGCAAATATATGTAATTTTTATGTACCTTCTTGCTTTTCACATTTATGATTAATTAATATGCAAGGAACACAGTTTGGAATATAGTTATCAATTTTATCTTTAAAAATTTTATATAAAATACTTGTTTGAAAAGTTCTTCAGTTTGTTTATAAGCAAAATGCTCACAAAGATTATCCTTGATTATATCAGTTTGTACTGACAGAGACAAGTTATTCATTACTGTCTATAAATTATACTGACTTTAACACAATACTCATCATAAAATTTAACTTTTAAGACTTCTTTGATAGATTGAATATGATCATCTTGCTGGTGAGCATTTTGTATTTTCAAAATGAGGCTATCTTGAGTGATGACCATAAAAGTGGATCTTTTCACTGCATCAAAATGTGTCATTCATGTGTCTGTTTGGTGTTCTGTTTCATAGTCAAAATCTTCTAACCTTAGTGCCCAACATGCTATTCATGTATTCAAGGTCTTTCTTTTTCTTGTTCATTGTCATTTTGAAGCCATTACAGTCAGTAATAATTTTGAAGTGTTTGCCGAAAAGTACCTCAAGTTCATAACTGGTAAATTTCTTTTCTGCATCAAGTGTCTTTTTACTCATGTATTAAACAAGATGTAGGCAATTGTCAGTCATAGATCTTTTCATGAGAATACAACCATAACCATGGATACTTGCATCAATGTGTATTTCAGTATCGCTGTACTGATTATAGATGTTAAGTTTAGGTTTTTAAGAGATCAATTAATGGTTGAGAAATTATAGAATTTATAATAAATTTACAGAAATATCTGACAAAAACCAAGGAAACTTTGTATGTCTTTGTGACTTAAGTGTAGGACTTAAGTGTAACAACAGCAGCTGTTTTAAGAGGAGGTGGGAACAGATTTTCGATGACCAAAGAATCCAGTTTTACGATTGAATGAGAACAAGGAATTCAATTCTACAATTTAAAAATTTAGATTTCTGAAAATTAATTTTGAGTACATAATCAGATGCTACTGAGAAAACAGATTGCAAATGCTTAATCCCTTTATCTTCGTCTTTAGCTGAAATTAAGATACCATTTAAATAGAATAAAACATCATATTGCAAGATTAAATCCTTAAAAATGGAATTTACAAATCTCTGAAATACTGAAGGCGAGGTACAGAGACTGAAAAGTACACATAGAAACTGATATTGTCCATTATATGTGACAAATGAAGTGTGATGTTGGCTGTTTTTGTCAACAAAAACATAGAAAAATAGCATTTTTAAAATTGATTGTAGTCAATGTACGAGCATCTTCTATTTATCCAGTAAATCTTCTATTGATGGTAAAACCAGGTTTCAGTTATGTCGTCGGCTAATCAAGTTTGAACTTATCTACAGTGTCTCTTGACAAAAAGTAATCGTTTAGGTCTGTGAAAAGTAGGTGTTTTATCTTTTACTTTATTAATCATCTAAATGTTTATAATTTTGGTTTTGATAGGCTTTTAGTTAGAGACAAGATTTTCAATAATAGTAACTTGTCCTTTTCTAGCACTGGGACCTATTTCTGATTCAAATATGTGATTAAGGGAAATATTATTGATGTGCACATCTTCCAGATCAGTTTTTTTAACAGTATGCTTTGAAATACGGACGCCATCTTTGTTTATATTAACTTCACCTTTTTTAAGATTAGCTATGCCTATTATAGCCTCAAATGGCATTACTATCTGCAACATAAATATTAGTCATAACTAATTCCATATCTACTAACATGTCAGCTGTAAACTAATCTGTTGGTTTAACACTAGAACTGCGGCAGTTTCAGTGCACCTGAAACCGCAGGCTGAGTTAAATTGGCCCCAATTAATAAAAACCCATGTTGTTATGCTAAAAGTATGCTGTAATTATTTAGGAATGACATTTATTCATTTTTAACATTAAATTGTTATAATAAGTGATAGAAAATAATAAGATATTACAATATGAAATATTGTATTACAGTTAGTAAAATATACAGACAACTTTTACCAGTCAAGATTTCCTACACAGTTCATGCACATTTTGGGCAACTTCTTTTATATATTTTGTACACTTTCCACTTATCGGTACTTTACAGTCAGAAGAAGTACAGTACAAAGTCTTTAATCCGGACCTCAAAGCTACAAACTTTCTGCGCATGCGCATAATACGTTTACGCATGCGCATTTAATGTATAACGGACGGTATAAGCTAGGCTAAAATTATCTAATTATCTATTTCAGTTAATGTTCCAGATTGCATTGTTCCTTAATCTTCTAATTGGATCTGGCTTATTTTTTGCAGACTGTTAGAGCAATTTTATAAAAGTACGCTTGAACTTTCGATTATGTCGAAAAGAATTTCCGATTTTGGAGCTGCCAAAGGATCTACAAAGCGAAAGCATTTTCGATGTACCGCTTCCGATAGTGAAGAAAGTGACAGAGAGGTTATTGAAAACGAACAAATTTCGATTCATAAGTTAGTTGGTATTCTCGACACAGCAATTACAAGACTTGAACAGTGGAACTGAACAAGAAATTATGTCTGTTTATAGAATTAAAGAGAAAGTATTAGCACAAAAAACGAAGCAACTTAAACAACTTGCATTGAAAGAAATGTTTAATAAAGTAAACAAATAAATATTATGCTCTTTTTTCTAAATTTTGATACCCCTTAGATCATAATTGCTCTTTATTTCATAAATTAGGGTTTCATATTTTTAATTTTATAAATTTTGCATGCCATCTTACCAGATTTAAATTGATGATCTATAATCCGGAATCGCCGAAGTCCCGATGAGTCCGGATTAACGACTTTTGACTGTATAAACATTTATTCACAGCTACATAAATCTAGCAATCCTACAAGTCCGAATTAAAGATTTTGTACTGTATCTGCAGTTTTGTTTCTACGCTTGAAAGCT